CACACACACACACACACACACACACACACACACACACACACACACACACACACACACACACACACACACACACACACACACACACACACACCAGTGCAGATCCTGGCACGGCCAGCCCCGGGGCCCCGGGTGGGCGGTGTGCCTGGCCGGCCCCGGCCAGCAGGGCGTGCGCGCCGGCCCCAAGGGCCCGGCAGAGGGCCCGACCAGGAGAGGGCGCGGTTGTGCAGCGGGCGTCCTCGCCGAGCGCGTTCCGCTGCTCGCAGAGTGCCCATTCGCAAGCGTCTGGAAACTATTCTGGCTAAGGGCCCGACCATATGCAGTTGTGAGTAGCGCGTTGTGGGTGCCGCTTTGGGGCCACGAAGCGCGTGAGGGACGTGCCGTAATGGGTGGGGGAGACGCATGCGGGCGGTGCCATTGGGGCCTTCGGTGGGGCTCCCTATGGGCCACGAAACGCTGTCCTGGGTGTGGCGGACGCATGTGGCCACCCCCACTGGGGCCTTGGGTGGAGCTCCCTATGAGACCAGGAAGCGCTGTACTGGGTGTGGCGGACGCATGTGGCCACCCCCACTGGCGCCTTGCGTGGAGCTCCCTATGGGGCCACGAAGCGCTGTACTGCGTGTGGCGGACGCATGTGGCCACCCCTACTGGGGCCTTGGGTGGAGTTCCTATGGGGCCACGAAACGCTGTACTGGGTGTGGCGGACGCATTTGGCCACCCCCACTGGGGCCTTCGGTGAAGCTCCCTTCGGGGCCTCGAAGCGCTGTCCTGGGTGTGGCGGACGCATGTGGCCACCCCCACTGGGGCCTTGGGTGGAGCTCCCTATGGGGCCACGAAGCGCTGTACTGGGTGTGGCGGACGCATGTGGCTACCACCACTGGGGGCCTTCGGTGGAGCTCCCTATGGAGCCACGAAGCGCTGTACTGGTTGTGACGGACGCATGTGGCCACCTCCACTGCAGCCTTGGGTGGAGCTCCCTATGGGGCCACGAAACGCCGTACTGGGTTTGGCGGACGCATGTGGCCACCCCCACTGGGGCCTTGCCTTAGGTGGAGCTCCCCATGGGGCCACGAAGCGCTGTACTGGGTGTGGCGGACGCATGTGGCCACCCCCACTGGGGCCTTGGGTGGAGTTCCATATGGGGCCACGAAGCGCTGTATTGGGTGTGGCGGACGCATGTGGCCCCACCCCCACTGGGAGGGGGGGCAGCGGGAAGGAGGAGACGCGGGGACCGTCTCTTCAAAACGAGGACCCAACACAACAGGATGGTTGGGAAAAACACATGAGACCGGAGTCAAACCCCAATCAGAGTGCTATAGGGCTAAGGGGCAATAAGGCTATATGGCTATAGGGCTCTAAGGCTCTGGGGCTACAGGGCTATAGGGCTATAGGGCTATAGGGCTATAGGGCTATAGGGCTATCAGGCTATAAGGCTATATAGAGCCATCAAGCTATAGGGCTATAGGGCTATAGGGCTTTAGGGCCATAGGGCTATAAGGCTATAAGGCTATAAGGCTATAGGGCTATAGGGCTATAGGGCTATAGGGCTACCAGGCACCTGGGCACCGGGGCACCCCCGGGCACCTCCGGGCATCCCCGAGCACCCGGGCTGGCCACCGAAATCGGCGATGAACCTGTTCTAACCATATGAACCCGCTAGGACCCCTATGGAGGCAAGCTCTGATTTTGGGGAATATTCTCCTCGATGTAAAGGATCGTCAAGCCCTCGCGGCGGATCCAGGCCACTCGCGAGTAGTTCTTCTGCGAGTAGTGGAGCGCGCTTGTGTCAATCTCCGCAGCGCTGGCCTCGCACCAGCCGTAAGGCTCTGCGTCCGTGCCGGTTTTTCCCAGGCGGCCTGTGGACTGGCATGTCTGTCTGAGATGGCCAGCGAGATTGCGCGCCGGCTTCTTGGGTGGAGCGAAGGCGAGGGTGGGAGGATTTGGACGCCCGAAATGGGCACGGAAAGAATGGGTACAATGCCCAACAGCAGTTCCTGTTCATTTTGAACAGGACTCGCTGTCCACGCCGCCGCGGCCTGTGTCCATTCGAGACAGAAGGCCGCCTGCCCAACAGCGGCCGCTGTTGATTTGGGACAACATTTGTTGTTGGGCATTGTACCCATTTTTTCCGTACCCATTCCGAGCGTCCAAATTACACAAAGGCTGCGCTGTGCGGAGCTGGATTTGGCCACGCCGCCCGACATCGAGTAGCAAACAGTTTGCACGATCGCAGACTTCTGGAGATTCGCGCGGATTTCATGGGTCGGCGCTGGACACCCTCTGGCGGCGCCTCCAGCGCCTACCCCAGAACTTTGCGCAGACTTCAGAGAGTTTGTGATTGTGATCTTTTTCTTCTTCTTGTACGGCAGTGCCCTTGACGCATGGTCGCGCCAAGCGCCTTGAGGTGGCGGGAAAACCAGCTACGTGCAGCCGATTCGTTAACGCTCCTTTGTTCTTTCTCCCCTTGGTTCCACCGATGTTAGGATGTCAGGATGCCGTTCGAGGTATGACGAGCACGTGCGCCTGAATCCAAAGAGGTGGTATGCGCCAGGATTCAGAGCGCAGTGCGGTCGGAGTCTAGCACGAGGGTTCGCTGGAAGGGGCGGAGGGGGATGATGATAATGGTGATGCTGATGATGGTGATGGTGGTGGTGGTCATGATGATGACGATCATTGATCATGGTGTGGTGGCTATGATGATGGTGGTAGTGAGGATGATGAGGCAGATGAGGAAGAGGAGTAACTGCCCCCTGCACGCATCATTGTCTGCCACCTCTGCCTCCATTTTCAGGGTTGTTGGCAGCGGCGTATTCTGCTAGGGGCCTGGTGCGCCCTTCAAGCACCGTGACCATGGCGAGCATACCTCGTCCTCGTCCTCGTCGATCGCCATGATGTTCAGTAACCATTTAGTTCAAGACTTTCTTTGGCTCAACTTCGTCTCCAAAGCAAATCGCTCGACCCCGGCAGCGTCGAAATGGCTCGCTTTCGCCGTGTGCTCTCGGCGGCTCGCTCGCGGCAGCCGGCTGCCTTCGCAGGGGCGCCTATGTGCCAGGGCCCGTGCGCGATCGCGTCGCGCCGCTTGCTGCAGCCTCCGCTGCTGCGGCGTTCGGCCCTCCCGCGCAGGCGGATGAGATCGGCGATGTTGCGAAGAAGCTCGGTGCCGGTTCGTATGCCACGCTTTCGTCAAGGAGGTGGACTGGAACACCTGCATCTACTTGCAGGCTCCTGGGAAGTTCCAGCCGCTGGAGGCCGTGAAAGCCATTGACAAAATGATCGTGATGCGGCGGAAGCCCACCACAAGGTCATCGGCAGTATCAGAGGCGCCTTGCGTGACCTCGCAGGCCGACTGGGATGCCGTGAGCGAGGCGTTTGGCCGCGTTATCGCGTCCGTGCTGGAGTCCACGGTGATGGGTGTCTACAAGTCTATCTCGGCCATCGTGGATTTAGGGATCCCCGCGTACCTGAAGTCCTTCGTGGTCGGTGCCGATGCCGAGAAGGCGTGCTCGGGCTTCCTGGCTTTCAAAGACGTGGTGCAGAAGAGCCAGGTCGCCTTGCCAGGACCCGATGAGGCGGCGCCCTCAGGCGACAGCGCAGGCGCGGCAGCCAAGAAACTCGGACGCGTCCTACTCGTTTCTGATGTCCGCGGACTGGACTTCCAGTTCGTCGATCGCCGAGACCCAGCACTTTTCTCGCCCTCGTCCATCACCGTGGCCAACGTTGCCGCCGCCCCTGGCTCAGGCGAGGACGTTGTGGACGCCGTAGCTGAACGGCTATGTCAATATCGGGTGAAACATTTTTCCGGTTTGCCCTATGATTGAGAGTCGGGGGCGATTGCATCATGGTTCTGATCGCGGAAGACTCTGGATCTGACGACAACGGTATTCCAGTCTCACCGAAGACAAAGGACGACGACGAAGGCATTTGTCAACAGGTTTACGGGATATGGGGCGGACTTCGCATACGTTTGGCGTGGGCATGTGCATGTCATAGGGACGTGTGTGCGGCAATCGCGTAAGTGGCGGCCCGCTCCGCCACGGTCTCCCGAGGTGTCTGAAAGGGTGCCCGTGGGGCCAGGGCTCTTGGGGTCGTTTTGGGCGGGGGACATACTGGGCTTGCCCAGCGCCCCGTCCGAGGCCAGTAACTTGGGGCTGTCAAAATCCTGTTATCGTCTTATTCCGTATGCGCATCTGCATGAGCTTTGGGGCGCTCCATTTGTTGCTCAAGGCACGTTGGCAGATGTCGAAAGCCGAGGAGGCTCCTCGAAGAAGTCAGAGACAGCGTGGACACGAGCGCCAAATTAAGAATCAGAAGTAGGAGTATGGGGGAATTCCCCAGTCATCGCTTCTTGTTTTTTCCCTCGAAGTAATTGGTTCGGTTTTCTGGGGGTTCGGCTGATGCCCGCCTGATGCCGCCTCGTAACCGCCTCGTGTTCTGACTGGGTTTGTTGGATTTCCGTCTGGTGTCCGCGTGCGCCCTTCGTCGCCGCCTCATGCGCTGGCTGTGTTTGTGGGGCTTTGAGCGGGTGCCAGCCATGGCAGGCCGTGAAGAAGGTTGGCAGGCCGCGTGCGGATTGGACAGTTCAAGTCCTACGTGTGTGTTGCGCAGCGGCAGGTGACATAACCAAGGTGACCCCGCTCCTGTGTAGCGAAGCTTCCTGGCGGCATTCTGCTCGCACGGCGATTCTGTCAACATAGCGCAGCATCGCCCGATTGTGTTGCACAGTCGACTCGCAGAGTAAGGATGAACGAATTTCCAAGGCTACCCTTGCATCTTTCCCCTTCTTCCCATCCTCGGCCATCCTCGCTGGCCGCGCCGCCCCGCTCGAAGGGTGTTGACATGGCTTCCCGATGCCCTTGCATCCTCACCGCGCACCCTTCTTCTACGGGTTGACCGCATCATGTCTGCAGATTTGCCCCCTCCAGTGTCTCACGCACCTCCACGTGCTGCCACGCCGGTGTCGGCCATGCCGCCGCCTCGTGCACTGGTCTGGCCCCCCGAGGCTTCGCTCCGTGCCCGCCCGTCGCCGCCTCGTCGCCGCCCTGTTCGCGGATCGGGATCCTCGGAACGAGAGCCATCATCGTCAGAATCATCCCGCCCCCACCGTGAAGGGTAACTTGGCTCTCCCAGCGTGCCCCCTCGAGGTAGGGATGGGTGCTCCGAAACCCGAAGGAGACGGTGCCCGTCCCCATCAGGGTGGGCAGATTGCCCGGCGGGGCCAAGGTTTCCCCGGTGGGGGTGGGGATTGTTTTCGTCGCCCAGAGAAACTGGATACAAGTGTACGTCACGTCACATTTGAGCACGCTGCGCGACCATTTTTTTTTTCCGGCGTCCTGGCGCCGCACCCGCAGCACCGTGGGTGGTGCCCATGCGCGGACGTGTCCTGTCATGTTCTGTCGTGTCCCAGGTTTTGGCACGATGCTCGCCAGTCGCCGCCCCATCGCATTGATATTGAACCCCGTAGGTTCCCCTTTGTCCAAGAGTACTGGGTTCCCCCAGGTCGAGGCCTGACTTGAGGATTCACCTTCGCGTGCTTTTTTCCCCGTGTTCATTCTCACGACCATGCACCCAAAAAGTGAGTTCGCACCATCCCAGCCAGGCCCTTTTTTTCGACCCTCCCTCTTCCCTGTCAGCATTCAGTGCGCTTGTTTGTTTGAGCCTGAGCAAGTATTCGATGTGAATGTTGTCATTAATAGATGCATGATTCACCAAATAGTTTGTCAATGCTTATTTTATCAGTGCTATATAACGATGCCGAGACCATGCTCAGCAACCTTTTTCTTCCCTTTGCGCTCGTGCGCGCCACAAGGCTTCTAAGCAGGTCTAACGTATGCACCATGCCAGGGTCCAGCATGGCCTGGGGTATGCTTAGTAGTGGTGATAATTGAGGGTTCATGTCGCGATGACGTCGGCGGTGGCTTGTGACACCGCGTGCATATCTCAACTTTGAACGAACGCGGCTTCCCGATATTGCAAATCGATCGATGGCCGTTGATTCGGGCCATTGGCGGCGTTCAATCTTGAGCCGATGCGCTGGGGTCGCCGCCGCATCGGCACAATGCCAACCTACTGTAGTGACGACTTGTGCGTTGGTGTCCCACACCGCGTGGTTCGATCGACGTTGAACGCTCGTGGCTTTCTGACAGCTTCGATCGTTCAGTAGTGGCCGAGCTCAGGCCGCTTGGAGGCATTTTTCTGAAATGAGCTGAGTGAAGACACGCATGCTTCACTGAAGGCGAACATTTACCTGATTGTTTTTTCGCAACCATCCTGTGGTGTTGGGTCCTCGTTTTGAAGAGACGTCGCCCCGCGTTCCTCTCCTCCTCTCCTCCTCTTCTTCCCTCCTCTCTCCTCCCGTCATCATCATCATCATAATCATCATCATCATCATCATCATCATCATCATAATCATCATCATCATCATCATCGTCGTCGTCATCATCATCACCCTCACCATCATCATCACCATCATCACCATCAGCGTCATCATCATCATCATCATCATCATCATCATCATCGTCGTCGTCGTCATCATCATCATCACCATCGTCATCAGCATCACCATCATCATCACCATCATCATCATCATCATCATCATCATCATCATCATCATCATCATCATCATCATCATTACGACCGTCATCATCACCAGCATCATCACCCATGTCGGCACACCCCTCACACGTTTCGTGGCCCCATAGGGAGCTCCACCGAAGGCCCCAGTGCCACCGCCCGCATGCGTCCCCCACACCCATTTCGGCACATCCCTCACACGTTTCGTGGCCCCATAGGGAATCCCACCGAAGGCCCCAGTGCCACCGCCCGCATGCGTCCCCCACACACATTTCGGCGCACCCCTCACAAATTTCGTTGCCTCACAGGGAGCTCCGCCGTAGGCCCTAGTGCCACCGCCCGCATGTCCCCCCCACGCCTATTTCGGCACACCCCTCACACGTTTCGTGGCCCCATAGGGAGCTCCACCGAAAGCCCCAGTGCCACCGCCCGCATGCGTCCCCCACACCCAGTTCGGCACACCCCTCACACGTTCCGTGGCCTCATAGGGAATCCCACCGAAGGCCCCAGTGCCACCGCCCGCATGCGCCCCCCACACCCATTTCGGCACACCCCTCACACGTTTGGTGGCCCCATATGGAGCTCCACCGAGGCTCCAATGCCACCGCCCGCATGCGCCCCCCCCCCCTCCTCCACACACACACACACACAATTCGGCACACCCCTCACATGTTTCGTGGCCCATAGGGAGTTCCACCGAAGGCCCCACTGCCACCGCCCGCATGCGTCCCCCACGCCTATTTCGGCACACCCCTCACACGTTTCGTGGCCTCACAGGGAGCTCCACCGAAGGCCCCAGTGCCACCGCCCGCATGCGTCCTCCACACCCATTCCGGCACACCCCTCACACGTTTCGTGGCTCTATAAGGAGCCCCACCGAAGGCCCCAGTGCCACCGCCCGCATGCGTCCCCCACATTCATTTCGGCACACCCCTCACACGCATGCGTCCCCCACACCCATTCCGGCACACCCCTCACACGTTTCGTGGCTCCATAGGGAGCTCCACCGAAGGCCCCAGTGCCACCGCCCGCATGCGTCCCCCATACACATTTCGGCACACCCCTCACACGTTTCGTGGCCCCATAGGGAGCTCCACCGAAGGCCCCAGTGCCACCGCCCGCATGCGTCCCCCACACGAATTCCGGCAGGGGTCTCCACACGTCGCGGGGACTCCGCGCCGCGCTGCGCCCGCAGCTTTGGACTTTGGAGTGCGCGGGCAAAGAGGGAGGAAAAGAAAGGAAGGAAGCGGACGCGATCCTCGTGAGGGGCGTGCCGACATGGGCGTCGCGGCGTGCGGGCGCTGCCGCCAAGGTTCCCGCGGAAGCTTTCTGCGGCGGCCACGCTCAGTGTCACGAGTGCACAGACAGGCATACCCGAACCATTCGCATTCATACAAATTTACACGAGGCGTAGCCATGATCGCATTCGTGCAAATATATTCTCTCGCTCGCAGACTCATTCACACTTAGACTCACTCGCGCTCAGATTCACCCGCGCTCAGTCTCTCGCAATTCGACCAATCGTTTTCCTTCGTGTTGTGTACCCCGCCACATTTCGGCACGCCCCTCATACGGTTCGTGGGCACCACCGAAGAAGATATTCACAATTGCGGTATTCACAACTGCATATGGTTGGGTCCTTCGCCAGGATAATTTTGGCTCACTGAAGGCAGATCTCCAGCTGCCTACGGCAAGTCCCGCCGCCGTGCCTGGGTTGTGGGTATGATACCTATTGGATATTTGTTGGGATCTCGTGAGGAGGCCTCTCGGGGGCCTCTTGGAGGCAATTTTGAAGCTTCTTGGGGGCCTTTGGGGCCTCTTGGGGTCTCTTTTGGGCCTCTTGGGGCCTCCTGGGGGCGGGCCTCTTGGGGGCCTCGTGGGGGCCTCTTGGGGCGGAAGGCTCGGATCTTCGGTTCGTGTTCCTTCTCCTCTCTTGGGCCCCTTTTGGGGCCGTCTTGGGGCCCTCTTGGGCCGTCTTGGGCAGGCGCTCTTAGGCCTTTTTGGGGCCCTCTTGGAGGCCTCTCGGGCCGTTTTGGGGTGGTCTTCGGGGCCTCGTGGGCCGTCGTGGAGCGTCGGTTTGCCGAAAAGGCGAAAACGCCCAAGTCCCCCAAACGACTAAGGCAAATTTAGAATTTTTGCCATGTGGGGTCCTCTTGGGATGCGTCTTGGAAGCCTCCTGGGGCGTCTTGGAGGCCTCGTGGGCCATCTGGAGGCCATCTTGGGCGTCTTCGAGCGATCGTTCGGCGACACGGGGCCCTTTTGGACCGTCTGGGGGCCCCCTGGGCCTTCATGGAAGCCTGGGAGAGCACCTGGGGGGCGCCATGGCCGCCCAGGGACCCCTGGCAACAGGGGCGATGCGGTCGGGTGGGTGGGTGACTGTGACTGGGAAGATGGCAACAAGCAACAAATCCGATCGATCGCCCCAGGACGTCTCGTCCCGCTTGCGGGAACGGCGCGGTTCGTGCACATAAGAAGAACACGTGCAGCGGAAAAATGCAGATAACGAGCACACCCCTCGCGGACTGGCAGCCCTGGAAGAGCCCTGCCGGGCAGCCCTCGGCATTCTTCCACGCCTCAGCGTGCCGCAGGCTCGGTGGCGGATCTGAAGGCTCCTCCTCCTCCTCCTCCTCCCTTCCTTCTCCTCCCTTTCTTCTCCTCCTCCTCCTCCTCCTCCTCCTCCTCCTCCTCCTCCTCCTCCTCCCCCTCCCCCTCCTCCTTCCTCCTCCTCCTCCTCCCCTCCTCCTCCTCCCTTCTTCCTCCTCCTCCTCCTCCTCCCTTCCTCTCCTCTCCTCCTCCTCCTCCTCCTCCTCCTCCTCCTCCTCCTTCTCCTCCTCCTCCTCCTCCTCCTCACTCCTTTTGCCTCCAGTGAACTTGTTGCCCTCAGTGAGCGAACTCTTTGCCGCCAGGTTCTGGTTTCTCCACCCTCCGCGCCTCGAGCGCCCGCGCTGGCGTCGCCGCCGCGCCGATGCGACGCAGACCTGCCCCAGGTGCCTCCCGCGAGCCGCCGACGCCGCCGCCCGAGGGGCGGGACTTGTCCATGACCACCGCCTCGGGGCTCGATCCTCGCGGACCTCCACCGGCGGTGGGTGTGGATATCTCGGGCCCCCGGGGGCCAACATACGTCCATAGCCTCCTCCTCCTCCTCCTCCTCCTCCTCCTCCTCCTCCTCCTCCTCCTCCACCGCCCCGCTGGGGCACCGGGACGTCGGTTCCCAGGCGGTGGACATGGATAACTCCCGCCTCGCACGCCGGCCACCCCGCGCGATGCGACCCTGGCGCGGCTGCGCGGCCCCGCTGGCGACCGCCCTCCTCACCGCAGCGGCCCGGCGCGCCCTGGCGCTCCCCGCGGGCGTCGCGGAGGAGGGGGCGGGCGCCCTCGGCGAAGTCGCTCTGCTGCTGCAGGCCCCCCTCGGCGTCGTCCTCATCCTCGTCCCCATCGTCGTCGTCGTCGTCGTCGTCGTCGTCGTCGTCGTCGTCGTCGTCGTCGTCGTCGTCGTTTGCTATCGTCGGCGAGCTCAGGGGAGATCAGGGGCAACGATAGAGGGGGATAGGCAGAAGGAGAGGGATGCGTCGACCCCCAATCGCCCAGTGATCGCCGATGGGGGTCTGGCAGCCCCACCCCGCCGAGGAAGGTGCGGGCCCACTATCGGGGGCCTGTCGCCGACCTGTCGGCGATGCATCGCCGATTCCAGGTCGATGTTCCCCCCCCCTCGTGCCAGTCCCCCCGCCGTGGCCCCTCGGGGGAAGTGCGAGGGGGGCAGGCCTTCCTCGGAAGGCCGCGGGCCTCTCCAGAAGGGCGGCCCGAGCCGCCCTCCCCGGGCCCTCTCCTAGATCTCCAGAATCCAGAGGCTCCGGAAAAGCAAAACACGGCCCAGAACGTGCAATAGTCCGATCACGACTACAGACGACGACCACCACCACCACGACCACTACGACGACCACCAAGACGATGGCGGCGGCTGCGGCGGCGGCGCCCGAGGGGGGCGGCGGCGTCGGCGGCCTGGGGCCCAGAGCCTCTGTGGCCCTCCTCGGCGCGTGGTTCTGGTAAGTGTTTGTGCATTTGTATGTGTATATGTGTTTGTAGTTGTTTGCGTAAGTGTATGTTTATTTGTATACTTGTGTACGCATTGTATGTATTTATGTAGTTAGCCGCAATTGTGCACATACACACATGTATACATACATAGATATGTATGCACATAAATAGCCCATGCGTATAGAGATATAGCTGGATATGCATATGTCGATTGCTATTTGTGTATATACATGTATAATCATATTCATATCCATGGCTTCGGAGTGGTGCGTGGGGATCTCGAGGCCCTTTCGACAAGTGGCGAATGTTGATCCCTGTCCATGGCCTGTGGGCAGAAAGGCATCCAGACACACTGCTCCCCAGGGCCCCGTGGCAGGAATCCGGCAGCCGTGGACACGTACATCTCCCGGCGGCGCAGCATACCTCCCCTCTCCCCAGGTCCAGAACGTCGACTTCAGCCTGCTGCGGGGCCGCCCAGACCTGCTCCACGCGTTCCAGGACGCCATCACGAGCGCGATCACCGGCGAAGGTAGGCTTCGGATGATTTCTGCGGCTCTCAGCGGTTCTTTCGGCGTTCCGTGGAGGCGCTCTGGATGCTTTCGGAGGCTTTTCTCGGAGGCTCTCCACGGAATCCAGAAGCTCTGCGCTGGCCCACGGAGGTGGGAAGCACGTGGAGCTCGTGCTGTCGGCCGGCTCCAGACGCGTGGACGCCGGCATGCTGACGACGGTGGTGGCGCAGGCCACGGCCGTGCCGGCCAGCGGAGATCCCGCCGACGCCGGCAAGCTCCTCGAGAGGCTCGCGTCCCCGAACTTTGAGGGCGCGCTCGCCGCGCAGATCTCTGGCCTGGATGGCCTGGGTGAAGTTTCTGGCGGCGAGGTTCGGCGGCGAGCGAGGGGGGGGAAGTGAGAAGGAGAAGGCCTCCTCAGAGGGCGGCGGAGCTTCTCATACGCCCTCGCGCCTTCTGACGTTTTTTTTGCGTCCTCGGGGAATGCGGAGAAGGCCTCCTCGGAAGGCCGGGGGTCTTCCGAGCTCACTCCCCCCCCGGCGCGCCGCCGAGAGGTCAGCCTGCAGGTTGTGCCGATCCCCGCGGCGGTCGCTGTCTGGAGGAGGACCACCACCACGACGACCTGCACCACGGCCTCGGAGACGACAGCAACTTCGCCTCGGGCGACGTTCGCCGACACGACCACAACAGCGCCCCCGACGGCTTTCCCGCAGGCCGCTCTGCCGGCCGAGCCCTGGCCGAACGCCACGGGGGCAACTCCGATCGAGGGCACTTCACCGTCCCACGGAACCGCGACCACCACGACGAGCGTCAACAGCACCGCGCTGCTCGCCCTCGACGACGGCGCCCCTGGCGCCGCTGCAGCCGCCTGGGCCCTGGTGCCGCTGGCCCTTCTGGCCCTCTGCTGCGGCGCGCCGTCGCTGGCACGCTGTCTCCGCCGTACCGCCGAGCAGCCCAAGCCCACCGTCGCCCGGTTCGCGGAGCCGCGCGGTGGCTGGCGGCGGCCCGAGGCCTGGTACAACCCCGTCGTGGCGCTGGACGCCTTTCCAGATGTCCAGGTGAAGGCGAAGGCGGAGGCCCCGTGGCCTGCGCCAGGGGAGCCCGATTCGCGGCAGACGCTGCCAGCGGTGCCGCCGAGCTCGGGGCTGCGCTCCGTCGTGGCGTCGTTCCACGAGGGTGCAAGCGTGGATCTCTTGGACTTGCACTCGCCGCCCCTCTCGTACTACGCAGGCGAGCCGCTGCTGCGCCCCTGGCCATCCACTGGGCATGCGACACCGCATCGCGCTGCGCCCGCGCGTGGGCTGTTCCTGCCGCCAGCGCCCGCGGTGGCCGTGGAGCTCGGCGGACAAGCCGGAGCGCTCCGCTCGGGCCTCCGAGCGGAGCCGCTCGCAACGGCGGCGCCACTCGTGGCGAGCGCCTTCGCTCCGCCCGCATCTGCGGCGGCTCTCGCGGATCCGTCTGCCGTGGTGGCGCGAATGCAGGCACTGGAGATCAGGGGCAACGAGGAGGAGGAGGAGGAGGGGGAGGAGGAGGAGGAGGAGGAGGAGGAGGAGGAGGAGGAGGAGGAGGAGGACGAGGAGGGGGAGAGGGAGGAGGAGGAGGGGAGGAGGAGGAGGAGGAGGAGGAGGAGGAGGAGGAGGGAACGGCACAGGGGGATGCATCGACCCGCAAACGCACACCCCGCCGATGGGGCCCGCCCAGGAACGGCGGCTCTGCTGTCGGGGACCCACCGCCCATCGATCGGCGATGCATCGCCGATTCTGCTTCCCCCCCCTCCCGTCAGGAGGGGTCAGTCCCCTCCCGTCGTTGCCCCTCGAGGAGATGGGCGCAGGCAGGGCCGCGGAGCCGCTTCGGGCGCGGCCCGCACCTCTGGCGCCGCCGCCGCTGGCAGCCCCAGCAGCCCACGGGGCAGGCCCCGCCCTTGCGGGCCCAGGGCAGCACAGCACGGCCGAGGTGGTGGCGCGGATGCTCAGCATGTGGCCTCTGGCGTTCTCGCGCACGCCTGTGAGGTGTGGAAGTACCACCGGAGAAGCAACACTTCTGAGCATCGCTCCGGGAGCCTCTGGTGGCTTGCGGCAGGCCGAGATGCCCACGAGTGGGGCGCGGCAGCTCCGATGAGCGAGGCCCACACGACGTCTGGCGTCGGGGGAGGACCCCACAGACAGAGCAGTGTCCAGAAGTCGTGCCGCTCAGCCGTGTCACGCAGAACCCATTCGTCAACGAGCCCTGTGCAGACACCCCCTTGCACGCCATGTCGAACTCGGAGTTCATCATCCCGACCTGCAAGGATCCCGGCTGCTCGCCGCGCCACTCGGGTAAGTACAGTAGTCGTGCCGGGAGGTCGTGGGGGACGTATGAGAAGGTCGGCGACGGTAGTGAGGGCAGCGGCAATGGAAAAGTTCGGTGGCGGTGAGGACAGTGGTGATGGCAGTGGTCAGGTTGGTACAAGTGCTGTGATGGCGGTCCCCGCCTCGCTTACCTTCTCCACCCCTCCCCCCCTCGCCTTCTTCCTCCGCCCCCTCCCCTTCCTCCCTCTGATCCCCCCTTCATCTTTCCCCTGGGTGCTGGTATTCGCGAAGGTGATGGCGGTGATGGCGGTGGTGCTGGTGGTGGTGGTGGTGAGGCGGTCCTTGTGCAGGGAGGAGGATCGGTACCAGGAGGAGGAAACGGAGGAGGCGGAGGAGGAGAAGGAGGAGGAGGAGGAGGAGGAGGATGAGGGAGAGGGGGAGGGATGAGAAGCATGATGACGTGGAGGAGAAGCAGGAAGAGGAAGGGGTCCTTCAGCAGTGGTGTCGGGACTGTCAGCCTTTCTCGCCTAGTCTGGATTGCGAATTGCTGCAAGTGCGCGTGTGTGTGTGTGTGTGCGTGTGTGTGTGTGTGTCGCTTCATCGCCAGCGCAGTCACTCTGCCTAGCCGCCGACGCAAAAAGCGTGTATCAGTCAGCCCAGGAGCACCTAAACACACCCTCCAGACGACAGGCGACAGCCGGCATTGACCAGAACCTCCGTCGCTTGGCCCCCCACCTTCCTTTCCCTTGCTTTCGTCTAGTCTGTCATGTTTTTTTTGGGGGGTTCTCCGTGAGCCCAAGTCGGATATTGTTATCGACACTCCGGGCGAGCCGCGGGTGGTAGAATTGGGTGCGCTGGTTGTGCCGTGCCACGAGGGATGACATGGGCGACCGTTGATGGGCGGCCCTCTCAGATCATGTGCCGCGTGCGATTGCAGCATCACGAGCAGAAACATCTGGTGACCTCTGGCCCATCCCGTCACCCTGCCCTGTGTACTGATCGGATGCTTGCTGGGATCTCCCGAGAGGCCTCTCGGAAGAATCTCGGAGGCGGTTCTTCGGGTGGCTTTGGGGCCTCTCGGAAGCCTCTTGAGGCTGCTGGGGCCTCCGGGGCGACGACGACAACGACCGACCACGACGACCGACCACGATCGATGATCCCCAGGACTTGTGTTAGCCCAATGTGTGTTTACCCCGTTCAGCTCCGCCAGTAGAAGAATTTCATCACCTGCGTCGTATTGAACGGTCTCGATGGACAAACACACGTTCTGAGGATCATCGACACGACCACGATCACGACCACGACCACGACGACGACGACGACCATGACCACGACGACGATCACGACGAAGGCGACGACGACGACGACCGACCACGACCACGACCACGACCATCACGTCGAGGACGATGATTTGTTCAAGGATGCCCAAGGACCGCGTCACCGAACTGACCACGACGACGACGACCCACCACGACCACGACCACGACCACGACCACGACCACGACCACGACCACGGCGACGACGACGGCCACGACGACGACCACGACCACGACGACGACGACGACGACGACCACGACCACGACGACGACCACGGCGACGACGACGACCACGACCACGACGACCACGACCACGGCGACGACGACCACGACCACGATCACGACGCCGAGGACTGGCTCAACGGCTTCAAGGACCGCGTCACCGAGCCGGCCCCGGCGCCTCCCCCCGCGCGCGCCGGGCCCGCCCAGGGAGCTCCCCGGCCGCCGCGGGCGGGCCGCCGCGCGGCCAGGCGGGCCTTGCCTCAGGAGGGAAAGAATCACACAGACACAGTCAACCGTCGATTCCAAGGGAAATATGGGAAAATATGGGAAGTGGGGGGGAAGACAGCAAGCCAGAAAACATAGGAAAATCTGGGGAATATTTCTATGTGTGTGTATTTATCTGTGTGTCCTGGGGCCCCTTCATTGCCAGCCGCCGCGCCTGCCCCTGCGCGCCCTATGCCGCGGCCGCTGCCCCGGCCGGCTCCGCGGTCGTCTTCTTCTTCTTCTTCTCGTCGTCGTCGTCGTCCTCCTCCTCCTCGTGCTCCTGGTCCTTTGCGTCCCTTTCCTTCCTCTCGTCAGTGGCACCGTATCAGGAGGATAAGGGAGGGCAAGCCACCGCGACAGTGGTTGCTCGTCAGCCCCTCCCCGTCCCTCCATTTCAGCTAGCGTTTGCGTTCGGGCGGCTTGGACGCTTTCCTGCTTGTCTCTCTCTCTCTCTCTTTCTCCCGGTTCCCTCCTCCCTCCTCCCTCCTCCCGCTCCTCGCCCCCTCTCGCCTTCGTCCTCTGTCCTCCCTCCTCCGTCTCCTTCCCGCTCCTTTTTTTTTTTTTTTTGTTTTTTTTGTTTTTGTTTTCTCTCTCCCTCCTCGTCCTGTTCCCACCAATCAGCTCGTGGCAGAAAGGGCCAAACATTCAGCCGTGTATTGTCTGGTTCAAGGACTGCTGTGTGGCAGGTCGCGGCCCGGCGAGCTCTGGAGAAGGTTCCCGAGTAATCCGTCAGATGTGCTCTCCCTCCTTACCTTCCCCCCCTTCCTCATTTGTGGCTGCGATACTGTCCCGAGTGATTCCTGTCATCTGTTGCACTCATTATCTTTGATGCTCCTTCTCTCGTCCCGCGACAATTCAACTGCAGTTGTGGGGCCTGAGAATTGAGATGCGTCCTGACGCACGCAGGGCAGGCGTCAATCGGAAAAGGGAGTCAAATATGTAACTCCTTACTTTATTCGTGCGTAGCTTCCGCCACCGCCAATTGGGAAACTTGGCAATGAAGCTGCTGCAGCCGATCCGTCGTCCGGGTATTAGACGACTTGCAAGGTCTGATTTTAACGTCGACAAAGCCAGAACGAATGGGGAACCATGCTTCTGGTGAGCGAGATACAATCTTACCCGTCACTGCTGAAGCACGTGGCCATTCCATGTGCTAGGCGAAGGACAACGATTGGGCATTCTGCCCGCCGAGAGCTAGTACTGATACCGTAACCTAGTTGGAAGAAACCCATTGATACAACGTGGCGTGCCACAGGGATTTCGAATCATGCTCCTTTCTCATGGGGTAAGTGCACGGCCCTCTTATCATCGCAGAAAGTGGGACAAACATGTGTTGGTCCTTTTTTACCGCATGCTGCTGTATCAAGTTAGATCTTGGAGAGCGACATGCACGGTCACATTATTGGGAAGTGTTCGAGGCCTTGATGACCCACGGCGTCGATCATTACATCGATATCACGATCGCGCTCAGGGAGTGAGCAAGCAGTGCCCTTGCTCACGGGCTGGTTATTATCTTGGCAATGACACAGGCCACACTTTGGTTGCAATGTTCTGATTCGCTGGCCCATGCCATACCAACTCTTGGCACGGATGTCAACGCGGTGATCCCTCTAACAAACGAACTGGGGACGGGGCGTGTCTGTGGCAGTGGGTGTTTGTCGCCACTGGGAACTCTAGTTCCGAAGCGTGTGAGGCATGCAGTGTCGGGTAACGAGATCCGCGGGGTGGGTGCAGAACGTCGAAGAGCCCCTCCTGCGCTGGGGGTGTCTTTACGATACCATCCCGATCTCTTCCGTCACCTGTTGCCGTGATGTATTGCAATGCTTCTCGCTTAATCCCTGCTCGGGCCCGACAAGGCACGTCAGGACGCAAGTAGGGTGCTCGGGAAAGCAAAAGGTTACGTCACTCCGTACGTTTGTCACACGCCGCTCATGCCACTGCCAATTCAGCGACGCAGCTGCAGTACTGTAGAGACCGAGCAGTCGACGTTTTTTCCTCCGCATCCCCCCCCTCTACTCCCTGCCTCACCACCCGCCAAAACAACCCCCAGCCCAACCCGGAGGCCAACCTTTGCCCCCCACTCCTAGTGTGGGGGGGGTGGGTGGGTGTCGGGGAACCTTGGACAAAAACCACGTGTGGAACCCGCACCCTCCGCCGGCCCGAAGCTTGAGGCCTTTGGGTCAGGCCGGGGTGGTCTGGCAGGCAGCCCCTGCCGCAGCTCGGGCGCGAGGGGCCGGCCCGCGTCGTGGCGGCGCCCGTGCCCCGGGGGCATTGGGCCCCGGCGGCCCAGCGAGGCGCGGCTGTCTCTGCTTCAAGCTGGCGCGCGGAAGCGGCCTGCTCCTCTCCTACCGAGCGCGTCCCCACTGCTCGCAAAGTGCCTGCCCGCAAGCGTCCGAACAGCACGTGTGTCTGCCTCGATGTGGCTTGTCGAAGATCCCCACGGCGGATCCAGGCCATCTGCGAGCAGTTACTCTGCAAGTAGTGGAACGCGCTCGTCTATCTTCCGCCTTCTCCCTCGTTCTCCTCCGCGTCGTGCTCGTCCCTCCTCCCCTCTCGTCTGCCCTCTCGTCTCCTCTCTGCGTCGTTGTCCTCCCGTTCTGCCTCCTCCGCGTGCCCCTCGTCCCCTCCAGCCGCCGAGCCCCATGGGCTTGGGGGTTCACCTGGACAAGACGACAATCACGAGCATCCAGCCTTACAGTGGGGGCGCGCATCGAGAAACCATGTGCTTTTCGTCAGGGTCTCCTGGGCTTCTTCGCTCCTCGAGCTGCGCGGTGACTTCCCGCAGCCGTTGAAGGAGCTGCTGCGTTCAGGGTGCTCCAGGTTTCCCCGGTTTCCCCCCAGGTGCACCTCGCGCACGGGTTCTCAGGGTTGGGTTCTTTGCGAGGGTTTCTTGCGGCCGCGCCCGCAGTGTAAACCCGAGCGCGCGCAGTCAAAGTGTCCGGGATGGACAGCGCCGTCTTGCCTCAGAACGGCAAGGTCAACTATCAAGGGCAGACCGTCACATTTCGCGACGGCTCTGCGACCGAGGTCACGAAAACAGAGAGGCTGGTTGGGCATGCTTCACGACCGAATATCAAGCGCTAGCGAGCAGACATGATCCACTGAGAGTCGAGTATCCTAACCAGCTAGACTTGCAGGTGGGTGCGAGTTCTAGTTCATGCGATCGGCTGCGGAGCGCAGCATCCTTTTATACTTGCTTTCAACTTCGATCGTGCCGCGCTGTTCTGGCACTGGCTCGCTGGCGGCTGCCGCCTTGCGACTTCCACACTGGACGTGTGGGCACTCGTTCTGTCCGTTTGTCCTCCTCTCTTTCTTGTCGTCGTTCCCCCCTCTTCCCCCTCCCGCATTTCCTCCAGAATGACGTTGTGCGCTTTTGAATTTTATACGTGGCCGTTCGGGCCGCTGGGGATGTCCGCACAACGCCCTCGCCCCCTCGTCTCCTCCTCGTCCTCGCTCTCCCCGCTTCTCTGCCCCCCCTGCCGGCGGGAAAATAGCCACATTTTGTTGCGCGTGCGTTCTCCTAAGCAGCGGCGGCCGCTTGCTTGCTGTGTTGGCTCCGTTTGTGCCAGTGGCTTCTTTTCACCCAGGAGGAAAGGGCGAGGACGGTCCTGCGGCAGGACAGCCTGCCGACTCCCCAGTCTCTATCCAATAGTCGGCGTCGGTCCGTGGGTTCATCGTTGCCGAGAAAAAAATAAAAAAATTAAAAAAGACATGATCCACTGAAGCACCGGTTACGACTACCAAGACACGGTGATGCCGCTATGGTATACGGCGTGGAAGCGTGGACATTGACCGAAACATGTCAATTGCAGCTCAGCAGAACACAAGCGAATGGTTCGAATGATTATTGGCATACTCCGGATGCAGACGACTGCCAGGTAGCCAAAGAGCAGCACGGATGCGAACGGTAGGAGTCTGACGCTTCCAGCGACTGAGGTGCACAGTAACCTATCTGCCCAATCCGACCATCCCGCGCGCACTACGACAACGACAACGAGACCCCACTACCCAGAGAAAATCGACACGGTATGGCGATGGGCTGCCCAGATATCCCCGCATCCGACAGAGCGGTGGACACGAAGATTGCTGAATTGGAACCCTGGCCAGAGCATCAAGCAATAGAAGACACTGTGGCGCACAGCAGAAACGGTAATGCGACGGCATATGGAAATTCTTGCGCAGCAAGGGTCCAACGACGGCAACTATACACACAACACGACACCAGTGTCGTTACGAGACCACGACATTGCCTACACCACACTGCCGCAACGATTTCAGCGCATGGCTGCAAACAGCGACGCAGCCATGGTGGACCTCGCGCAAACACGATTTTTGAGATTTTTGAGTGACGACGACCTCACGCGCCTTGCCTAGACGGGCACGGGCACACGCGCCTCGTCGCATGTGGCGGGATCGGCGCCTCGCCTCGTCCTCCCTCCTCTTCCCCCAGGGTGTGGCGCCTGCACGGAGTGGCATCGCGGCTGCCATCAATGGCCTCTCTGGTGGCCCCCTCCGAGTTATCGGGCCTCGCTTGCGGCGAGCTCATGGCGGTCATGCCCTCACTGTGGCAGTCGGGCCCTGTGTCTGTCTTGTTCCTGGCTGCTAGACAGTGCTTGAGACGACCCCCATGGGATGCGCAGTAATTTGCGGGTGGCTACCAAGTACCGGCAGGGCATGGGCTGGCCATAGGTGGGGCTTGGACGCGCTGAGCGGTGTTCACCTTGCCAGATGCATGGTGCACTTCGTCCTCATAGCTGCAGGCGGGCCTTTCAGCGTCTGAGCCTCCTTCCTCCCCCCGTCCCCCTCACTCCCCTCCGTCCTCCCGCCTCCCTCCCTCCTTCGTGCCCCTGCTCCCTCCTCCGTCCCTCCTGCTCCTTGCTCCCTGCTTCTTGCTCCCTGATCCCTGGTCTGCCTCGCTCCTCCCTGTTCTCTCCTTGCTGTAGTCCTCCTTGTTCCCTCCAACCTCCTCCCTCCCGTGTCAGAGCAACTCGTGTCGTCTCTCCCTTATCGTAGCGGCCTCCGGCCAGTGCCGCCGATCCGGGGCGCTCCCGATGCTGATGGGAATGGATGACCGTGTATGCTGACGATGCAGCCCTCGTTCGAGACATCCTCATAAGAGATTTGAGAGTTTGGGGTCCGAGCCCATGAAGGATCCACCGGCTTGAGGACTGAGGCTCAGGGGATTGAGCAAGGGACCTCGGGAAGCGTCTTGGGGCTCGTTCTGGGGCCTCTTGGGCCTTGTTTCGGGCCTCTTGGGGGCGTTCTGGATTCTCTTGCGGGCTTTTTGGGGGCCTGTTGGGGCCTCCTGGGGGCGTCTTGTAGCCTCTGGAGAACGTCGTGAAAGGAAAGACTTTGATTTTTGGTTCGGACTCTCCGTCTTGGGCCTCTCCTGGGGCCCTGGTGGAGCCCTCTTGGGCTGGCTTGGGCGCTTCTTGGGCCGTTTTGGTGCTCCCTTGCGCCGTTTTGGGGTCGTCTTGGGAGCCTTTTGAGCCGTCTTGACGCGGTCCCGGGAGTTTGTGGGACCGTCGGAAGTGAAGTCCCCCCCGCCCCCGAGAGCACTGCATGGCACCAGGACTGGCGCCCCCCCCTCCCCCCCCTGCAGAGCGAACCTCCCCCCCCCCCCCCGAGCTCCCGAGCACTGAATGGCGTCGGGAATGGCGTGCCCCCCCCCTCTGCAGAGCGAACCCTCCCCTGGATCCCGAGCACTGAATGGCGTCGGGAATGGCGTGCCCCCCCCTCCCTTTGCAGAGCGAAGCTTGAGCGAGCTCAAGTCCACGCTCTCAGAAACTCACACGCCGGATCGGCGGATTTCTCCTCACCCTTCCCCTTCCTCCCCTACTCACCTGTCTCCCTCGCTCCACCGTATCTTGCCCCCACGTCCGTCCCGCCTTTGCGTATCCCGACTTCCGAAGCCGTGTTGGTTGAAACCTCTGCTGGCGGCTTTTACATGTGTGCATTTTACTCAAGACGCTTGGCGATCTCCGCCTGCCTTCTTAGGTCTGGCAGCAACTTCTGCCTGTACCTTTTGCCAAGCTAGCCCGAACCGGACAGTGCAGTGCATTTCAAAGGCGGCCTCCAGACAGCTTAGATTGTCGCGGCTTGGGCCCAAAGTCGGCCCCCAGGTTTTATCTTTGACCCGCTCTGGAAACGATCTCGAATTCGTCTTCGGTTTGGACACTGTCTTGGTGCCGTCGTGGACCCGAGCTGGGGAGGAGACATCGATGCACTATTTGAGGCTATTCGACGGAACCTCTGGGGGAGCGGCTGGGGCGAGAGCTCTAAATAGAGCTCTGGGGAGGCGGTCTCGCACGTCTCGCGGCCCAGTCGGCGTGGGGATGCAGGGCGCTTGCGATCGCCGCCCGCCACTGCAATTGTCGTGGTCGTTTTGGCAACCGTCCCCTCCGACTGCAGTCTCCGCAACCGCTTCTTGTTGGACCAGTGGCCATGGGATCCTCCCGGGCCTTCTTGCGGCCCACTTGGGACAGCATTGACCGGAGAAGCTTCCAAGGCCTCGGGGAAGCCTGGTGCGTAGAGTGCACTTTTCAGCCGACCCTCTCGCCGGGGTTTCTTCCACGGTTCGGCCTCGGGGGGCTCGCCTCGGCCCCAGGGCCGTCGCAGAGTGACCCGGGGTGGAACACTTGTCCCGGGGATAGCTCAGGCGATCGCAAACATGGATTCAGGGGGCGTGGATTCGCGACGGGTCACGTTTCCATGGGAAATCGCGGATTCCTGCCGCCGAGCGAGGCGTCACTGGCCGCATTTTGGGGAGGGCACCTCCCCCGATACATGGATTTGGCGACCGCGCGCCAAATCCATGGATCGCTAATCCATGTTTGCGCGCCCCTGAATGCGTCGGGAGCGGGCGAATGACGACTTGGAGGGGCACGAGAGCTGCGAGGAGGCGGGCGAGGAGCTCCCTCCTCCCCGGCTCTCAAGGGCACCACAGGCACGCCCTACGCCGCTGGGGCCTTGTCGGGCCCGGCGGGTCCAGGCCCCGATTTCGGGAAGCGCGCGAGCGCCCGCGGATGCCAGCGCCGCTGGACGTCCGGAGCCGCGGCTGGTTTGCCACTCGACAGGGTGAGGGTGAAGGAGGAGGATGAGGAGGAGGAGGAGGAGGAGCAGGAGGAGGAGCAGGAGGAGGAGCAGGAGGAGGAGCAGGAGAAGGAGGAGGAGGAGGAGGAGGAGGAGGAGGAGGAGGAGGGAGAGGAGGAGGAGGAGGAGGAGGAGGAGGAAGGCGGGAGGGAGGGAGGAAGGAATGGAGGGAGGGAGGGAGGGATGCAGGGAGTGAGGGAGGAGGAGAAGGTGGATCTGTTTTTCCTGTTGACTCGACTGTGGTATTTTATTTACATCTAGAACAGTGAAAGGGGATCTTTCGAGACGGGCAACTTGATGGTTGACACGGCAAGTGGCGAAACCAGCATCGTCCGGACAATTGTGTGATACGGCGAGCGCAGGTGCTTGTCTTTAGAACAGGCTTGCCAGCGGCAAAGACTTCGTCCAGCACCTGGGCCTCGCCTTCGACGGGATCAGGCTGCCCCCTCTGAGACCTTTGTGCCAAGTTGTTCCCATCGTGGGGAGAGACAGCTTCGTCTCTGCACTCCTGCAACAGGCCTCTGGCCCTGTGGCCTCGGGAGGTGCACCCACGAGAACTGCACACGAGCACGGTGCTCTCGGAGTGGTGAGCCGGTGCGAAGAGCGTGTGAGAAAGCGGACCCGCCGCTGCTGCGCCGAGGGCGCTGGGGCGGCAGCTCGGCACGGCTGCGCCAGCAGCAGGGAGTACAGGTCAGGCAGCACGCCTCGGTGCGTGGCCCCTGTTCTCCGAAGCCTCATGAGACCCCCTCTGGCTAAAAAAAAAGAAAACGGTCAGGCAGTACGCCTCCGTGCACTGCCGTGCACCGGGTCGACGCGTGGGTGCCTCCACCCGGCGCCCTGGTCAGGAAGCCACGCCCCGGGGCAGGGCTCGGGTGCCCGAGGGGGCGGGCGCGGGGTGGCGGCCCGCGGGGGAAGCGAGCAGGGGCGGGCCCACGCAGAGGGCTCGGCCGTCCCCTGTTTTTTTTTTTTTTTTTTTCTTTGCTGCTGTCTATTTCAAGCATATTTCTTTTGATCTTAGTGTTTTCTGAGCCTTCCCATGCGACGCAGGAAAAACACTTCGAAGGCGCCGGGGCTTCTGAGGAGTCCCGCCGCCGTCAAAGAAGGCCTCCTCCTCCTCATCCCCCCCCCGTCGCTCGCGAAGCCTTCCCCCCGAAGCCACCGCGAGCCTCTCAGAAGGCGCGAGGGCTTCTGAGAAGTCCCGCCGCCTCCTGAGAGGGCCTTCTCCTTCTCGCTTCCCCCCCCCCCGCTCGCCGCCGACGAGGAGGACCCCCGCACGCAAGACTTAAGTCGGGCCTGTCCCTCTACAGGAGGAATATTCAAAAATAGTTAAAAATGCAGCCTTGGGCGACTTTTTTGACCGTTTTTGAACATTTTTTTTTTTTTTTTTTTTTTTTTGTTGTTTTTTGTTTTTGAGTATTTTCAATTTTTCCCCTAAAATCCGCCTGTAGGGGGACAGGGCCGACCTAATGCAAGACTGCCCCCCCCCCCCTCGCTCTCCTGGCGCCGTCCGCGCCGCCACGACCTCGCCGCGACAGCTTGCGGCCCCTGTCGCCCCTCGCTGGGGGGCCGCACGCCCGAGTCGAGAGGGGGGGAGGCGCAGAGGCGCAGGGGGAGGGAGGGGTGCATCAGTCTGGGCCTCCTCCTCCTCCTCCTCCTCCTCCTCCTCCTCCTCCTCCTCCTCCTCCTCCTCCTCCTCCCCCTCCCCCTCCCCCTCCTCCTCCTCCTGCTCCTCCTCCTCCTCCTCCTCCTCCTCCTCCTCCTCTCCTGGGCGTTAGTTTCGGAAGTGTTCTGGCGTTTTGGGGTGCACTTTGGTGTCTCCTCCTCCCGGCTCCGCTCCTCATCCCCATCCCCTTCGAGACCCCCACCAAATTACCCCCCCAGTTGGGGATACACTCCTCGAACCCCGAAGGGAATAGCCTATGTCCCCATTTACGGGGGCAGATCGGCCAGTGGGGCCCAGGCCACGCCGCTGGGGATGGGGATCGATCGGATACACAATACTCATAGATGGGGTCGGAGGATCGTGCCGCATCGCCATTGCATCGGCGGTGCACTGGCGATGCGGCTCGATGTGGGTTGCGATTTTCTCCACGCCGATGGCGCCGATGCATCGCCGACGTCGCCAGTGCATCGCCGATGCATCGCCGATGTATCGGCGATGCGGCGAGATCCTTTGACCCCTATCTACTTGAACCCCATCTGGGAGGCCTCTACTACGGGGGAGGGAGGGGTAGGAGGGATGAGGAGTGGGAGGAGGGATTTGTCTGCATACATACAGTCATGACGAGCAAGCTCAGCAGCCTGATGCGAAAGCGGTCAGAATCTACATCCTGCACTGCATCTACGGATTGTCCTGCAATCGATGGGTCCTGGCAGGATGCGCGTCGAGGCTGGAACGAAACATGTGCAGTGGGCGAGCCTGGCTGCGGCTGCGGCGAAGCGTGCTAGAGCGATACGTGGAACGAATCGAAGATCGTCTGAGGTGCAGCTGCCGGGCTGAGAGGGAGTGGGCCAGGCCCGAATGCAGGGCAAGAGTGCACCGCGAAGCCGGGAGGCCGACGAAGAGGGGGAAGCCCCGGGGGGGCCGGGGCGGGGGAACCAGGCGGCGGGAAAGTTGAGCGGGCGACGAGCTTTTCGCTCGTCGGTGCCGCTGAGGGGCGAGAGAGGGGTGAGAAGGAGTTATGCGAAGGAGGGGGAGGAAGGATGAGGCAGGGGAGGGGGGAGGCGGCTGAGTGGGAGGGGGAGGAGGGACAGCCTAGCATCCCTCGCATCCTGGCATCCCTGGCACCCTGGCATCCAGGCACCTGCCCCGCAGGTCTGACAGAACCTCACAGGTCCCACAGGCCCCGCAAGGCGCACACGCTCCACAGGTCGCAGAGGTCCCATGGGACTCGCACGTCTCGAAGGTCCTTCAGGTCGCATAGGTCGTTCATGTTTCACAGGACCCACAAGTCCTACACGCCCAATGGGCCCCACAGCTGGCACTGGTCCCACAGCTTCAACAAGTCGCACAAGTTCCATATTACAGTCGGGGCGCTGAAGACGGAACCCTTTTCGTTGGGGAGGGGCTCGGTGTTCCTTGATTGTTTAACAGTTTGCCTCAGGTTGTCCTGAGGATTTCCATGGGAAATGGAAGTTTAACTTATGGGAAAGAGGGGCCTCGTTCCTTATTTAGGGTTCCTTAGGTCAACGCCCAGACTGTAGTTTCACAGGCCCCACAGGTCCCACAGGTCGTGCGGTCCCCAAATGTTCCACAGGCCACAGGCTGCACAGGCATCCTGACATCCTGGAATCTTGCCATGCTGGCATCTGGGAATCCTGGCCTCCTGGTCGCCTGGCATCCTGGCACACTGGCATCCTGGCATCCCTGACATCCTGGTATCCTGAGATCTTCCCATGCTGGCATCCAGGCCTCCTGGTCGCCTGGCATCCTGGCACGCTGGTATCGTGGCATCCATGGCCTCCTGGCCTCCTGAGAGCTTGCCTTGCTGACATCCTGGCTTCTGGCATCCTGGCGCCCCAGCATCGTGGCATCCTGGCATCATCACCATTGTTAGTCGTCGATGGTCACGTGCATCTACACCCAGGGGATTCTCATGTGGTCTCCTACCGTCGGAGCAGTTTGTAATGCTGGTTGAGACTCTTGACCTGGCGGAGGTCTCCAGAGGTCGTCGGCGGTCCCTGGAGGTCTCCAGAGGCCGTTCGAGCTCCTTGGAGATCCCAGACGGGCCAGAAACCTGGATCCTCGATCCTCGATCCTCGATCCTCGTTCCCCTCCTCGATGTGCCTGGTGTTGAGTCGGGCCTGTCCCTCTACAGTGGGGAGTATTCAAACATAGTCAAACCATAATCTGGGGGCGATTTTTTTAAAGAAATATGTTTTGAGCATTTTGGGAGTATGTTATGTTTTTTTGTGATTGTTGTTTCCGTCCAAAATCGGCCTGTGGGGGGACATGCCCGACCTACGCCTGGTGGAGGGCGCAGTCCCCCCCTTGGCCGCCCTCGGTGGTTGGCCAGCTGACCGCGGAGCCAGCGGCATGAGACCTCCGCGCTGCTCGTGGCCTTCCCCGTGGTGTTCACGCTGAGCAGGACGGCCTGGAGCGAGGCTCGGCCCGCCTGGACGGGGCCAGAGGTGCAGGGAGGCTGGTGTACAGTCGGGACGCTGGAGCACAGTCTGGTTTTCTCCTCGCTCCTCCTCCTCCTCGCTCCTCCTCCTCCTCGCTCCTCGCTCCTCCTCGCTCCTCGCTCCTCCTCGCTCCTCTCTCCTCTCTCCTCCTCCTCCCTCCTCGCTCCTCCTCCTCCTCCTCGCTCCCTAGGGTCGGGGCACCAGAGGCCCGCCGTGGCCAGAGAGGCACACGCCGTGGCTCATTTTGGCGTCTTCCTTTGGCGGCAGCGCGGCGGCTGGCAGCTGGCTGGAGATAGCCCTCCAGTGCTTCCCCGCCACCGCCAGCGAGCCTAGGAGTCGAAACGCGGGACCGATGGTACCCTCCCAGCGCCGGCGCACGGCTGGCCGATGTCAGCCTCCCCCTCCTCCGCGTACCTCCCCTCCTCCGCGTCGCACGTGTTCGGGCCCCTCGCTCCCCGTCCTCGGTCCCCGTTTCGGCTCCTCCCGCGTCTCGACGGCCCCCGCGGGCGGGCCGAGGGCGGGAGAGTATGAGTATGAGAACGAGGATGAATATGAGTATGAGTGTGAGGATGAGGATGACGTTGATGATGCTGATGGTGCTGATGATGAGCCTGGTGACGATGGTGCTGCTGAAGATGTTGCTGCTGCTGCTGCTGCTGATGATGATGATGATGGTGGTGGTGATGATGATGACGATGATGGTGATAACGGTTGTGGTGGTGGTGGTGATGATGCTACTGCTGCTACTGATGATGGTAATGCTGATGATGATGGTGATGATGATGCTGCTGATGATGATGTTGATAGACGACGATGGCGGTGATGACGATGATGACGATGAACATGATGCTGCTGATGATGCTAATGCTGATTACGATGGTGATGCTGGTGATGATGATGGTGCTGATGCTGAAGACGATGCCGATCCTGATGATGGTGATGATGATGCTGATGGTGATTATGATGCTGGTGATGATGGTGCTGCTGATGCTGCTGCTGCTGATAATGATTATGAGGGTGATGAGGATGATCATGATGTTGATGCTGATGCTTATGGTGATGTTGATGCTGACGATGATGATGATGCTGCTGATGATGACAACATGAGAATGAGCATGAGGATGCTGATGATATGTTGCTGATGCTGGTGCTGTTGTTGTTGATGGTGGTGGTGTTGCTGCTGCCATTGCCGTTGCTGCTGCTGCTGTTGTTGTTGTGAGCGTGGTCGTCGTCGTTGTTGTTGTTGTTGCTGCTGCTGTTATTGTTGTTGTTTGTTGCTTGTTGTTGTCGTTGCCGTTGTCGTTGTCGTCGTTGTTGTTGTAATTGTTGTTGTGGTTGTTGCTGTTGTTGTTGTTGTTGTTGTTGTTGTTGTTGTTGTTGTTGTTGTTGTTGTTGTTGTGTGGTTGTTGTTGTTGTTGTTGTTGTTGTTGTTGTTGTTGCTGCTGCTGCTGCTGTTGTTGTTGTTGTCGTTGCTGCTGCTGCTGCTGTTGTTGTTGTTGTTGCTGTTGTTGTTGTTGTTGTTGTTGTTGTTGTTGTTGTTGTTGTTGTTGTTATGGTTGTTGTTATTGTTGTTGTTGCTGCTGTTGTTGTCGTTGTCGTTGTCGTTGTCGTTGTCGTTGTCGTCGTCGTCGTCGTCGTCGTCGTCGTCGTTGTTGTTGTTGTTGTTGTTGTTGTTGTTGTTGTTGTTGTTGTTGTTGTTGTTGTTGTTGTTGTTGTTGTGGTTCTCGTTGTCGTTGTCGTTGTCGTTGTCGTTGTTGTTGTTGACGTTGTTGCTGCTGTTGTTGTGGTGGTTGCTGCTTCTGTTGATGTTGTTTAACTCTCATTTCGGAAGGATAATTGTTGTTGATCCCCCCTCCCGGGGCTCGCACCCTGTTTTTTGTTCAGGGAAAGTCTTGAGGGTCAAACTGTGTCGTTGAGCCACGGTTTACAACAACAGCATTAACAACAACAACAACGGCTCCCGCCTGATATTTCTTCACAATTTGTTGCAAATCGCGCTCTCGCTTGGGACTTCCTGGGAATTTGCCACCGAATCGCGGCTCCCGCTGGATACTTCCTGACAGTTTGTTGCAGAATCGCGTTCTCGCTTGGGACTTCCTCGCAACTTACCACCGAACCGCTTCGCTTGATATTTCCTCGCAATTTATGCAGATCCCCGTCCTCAACACTCAGGATTCTCGCTCCCGCTACATATTGCCTGGCGGTTCAAGCAGGACTCACGCTTCAACGACCCGCCCGCTCGACCCGCCCGTCGGGGCCTGCCCGCCCGACCAGCCCGTTCATGACTGCAGTCGCCGCTCGCTGCCCTTCGCCCGCCTTCGATGCCCCTCGCTGCCCGTTCTGGTTCCTCAGTCGCCTTCGCTTGCTGCCCTTCGTGGCCCCGTTGCTGCTCTCAGTGGCCCCGTCGCTGCCCTTTGTGGCCCCTCATTATATGCCCTTCGTGGCCCGCTCGCACACGCCCGTCGTGGCCCCATACGCATGCCCTTCGTAGCCCCGCTGTCGCCCTTTGTGGCCCCCTCGCTGCCCTTCGTGGCCCCTTTGCTGCCCTCAGTGGCCCCGCTGTCGCCATTTGTGGCCCCGTGTGCAAAACTTCGTGGCCCCCGCTCGCTCGCGCCCGTCATGGCCCCATATGCATGCCCTTCGTGGCCCCGCTGTCGCCCTTTGTGGCCCCCTCGCTGCCCTTCGTGGCCCCGGTGCTGCCCTCAGCGGCCCCGTCGTTGCCCTCTGTGGCCTCGGACTTTATGCCCTTCGTGGCCCACGCTGGCTTTTCTCAAGATCTACTTGGGAATCGCGCTATCGCTCTAGACTTCCTCGCGATTCATGCAGGACCTACGCTTCAGCAACCCGCCTGCTCGACCACATCGCCTGGGTCCGCCTTCCCGACCTGCCCGCTATGGGTCTGCCGACTCGATCTGCCCGTCTGGTTCTACCACTTGTTTTCTGCTCCTTGCCCGATCCTGCTAATTTCTTTTGTGCTCCATTCTTCTCCCTCCCCCTTCCACCCGTCCTCTGATCCCTTGTTTTAAGGGCTGCACTAAATACACGTGGCAGGTAAGGAAGATATACCCCGAAGGGGGTATGATCGAAGACGACGAGGGCGGGTACCGAGGTAGTGGGATACACGTATTGATTGGCACGTGAGCAGATAGGAGCGAACAGTCTTAAACTGATTGTTGTCGTCGTTGTTGTTGTGACTGGTGTTGTTGTTGTTGTTGTTGCTGTTGTTGTTGTTGTTGCTGTTGTTGTTGTTGTTGTTGTTGTTGTTGTTGTTGTAGTTGTTGTGTGGTTGTTGTTGTTGTTGTTGTTGTTGTTGTTGTTGTTGTTGTTGTTGTTGTTGTTGTTGTTGTTGATGTTGTTGTCATTGTTGCTGTTGTTGCTGTTGTTGTCGTCGTGGTCGTTGTTGTTGTTGCCGCTGTTGTTATTGATGATGATGCTGATGATGATAATGATGATGATGATGATGATGATGATGATGATGATGATGATGATGATGATGATGATGATGATGATGATGATTACAATGGTGCTGCTGCTGCTGCTGCTGCTGCTGCTGCTGATGATGATGATGATGATGATGATGATGATGATGATGATGATGATAATCATGGTGACGATGATGGCGAGGAGGAGGACGAGGAGAATGAGGAGGAGAAGGAGGAGGTTCAGGAGCAGGAAGAGGAGGAGGAGGAGGAGGAGGAGGAGGAGGAGGAGCGAGGAGGAGGAGGTTGAGTAGGAGGAAGGAGGAGGAGAGGAGGAGGAGGAGGAGGAGGAGGAGGAGGAGAAGGCGGAGGAGGCGGAGGAGGAGGGAGAGGAGGAGCGAGGAGGAGGAGGAGGAGGAGGAGGAGGAGGAGGAGGAGGAGCGAGGAGGAGGTGCGCAACTTGGGCATACTTGCCGCCCGTCCGCCGATTTCGGCATACCGCTCACACGGATCGTGCCTAAAGGGAATCTCCACAAGCGCCCCTCCTGCGAGCCGGATCGACGGTGGGGCAACGGCCACCCGCGTGGGACCAGCCGGCTGCAGATGTCTTTCTAGATCTGACCTCCTGCCGACGCTTTCGAAATCTGACATGCAGTGGTGGGGTTCACGTGCGGTCGTCGAGTTTCTCAGGCGAGAAAACGCCACACATGAGCTTCCGGAGTTCTGCGTCGAATTCTAGGGACGGCGCCAGCCCCCTCTTCCCTGCTCGCGCGCGAAGCGCGCCGCCAGGGGGGGGGGGGGCAGCACCGACCTAAGACATCCGCGCGGCCGAGCGAAGACTACTGACAACCTACGTTTACGCTGTGTGTTATTTCCCAGAGTTTTCCCGCCCCGCCCTCCGCATCGAGTCTGTCCAGCCATGGCCGCTCCACCTCTCTGGGGCACCGCTGGCTCCCGCTGTTCCCAGCTTCCCTGCAGACGTGCCCATGTCGACGTCCCCGATGCATCGCTGATGCGTCGGCGTTGCGATGCGATCCTTACGAACCGTCTGCGCTGCGCAGAGCTGCGCGGACATGCGCACGTGAGCCGCCCGCGTGAGGCCGTCTGCGAGCGGCCTCGCTCTTTGGCGCGCCGCGCGCGGGCGGCCTGCGCGTGCCGCGGCGGGAGGTCGCCGCGCCGTCGCGCGCAGGGGCCCCCCTCCTCTCCCTCTCGCTCCGCCTGCTCGGGCGGCCTCCTGGAGGCGATGCACGAGTTCTGGACCGTGCTCCTGCCCTTTGTCGCCTACTCGCTCGGCATCGCCCTCGCGAGGAAGCGTCGGAACGACATCAGGTCGGAGCTCGTCAGCCGGGTTTGCGAGAGCAGCTCGCCCGAGACCACGCTCAAGCTTTACGACAGCATGGTCGAGCAAGGCGAGTGGCCGAACAAGCGCAGGCTGAGAGGCTGGCTTATTCGGGGGGGGGGCGGCCAGGGCCAGAATGCTGGCAAGATCAGAGATCTAAATCATGGAGAAGGCGCCAGCTCACCCAGCTTAGATGTCGCTTTGCGTCGCTGTGCTGTGTTGATCGGTACTGAGTCACGCTACGCCGCGATGGGATGTAATCGGCCGTCTTGTTACGTAAAGTGAGCGCAGTGTGTGTGTGTGTGTGTGTGTGTGTGCGTGTGTGTCGGCCCCCCCGCGCCCCCCCCGCGGCTTCGCCGCGTGAGTGCGCCCTCTTCCCCCTCCTGTCTCTGCGGCCGCTCGTCCACTTCTCCCCTCATCCTGCGTGAAGGACAATCAGCAACTCCGCAGCCCGGGTTGCCTTGACGCACGTGCGGACTGCCTCTGCTGCGCTGCGGCCGGCGTAAAAAGTGTGTAAGAGTGCTTGTGTTTGTGTGTGTGTGTGTGTGTGTGTGTGCGCGCGCGTGTGTGTGTGTGTGTGTGTGTGCGCGCGTGCGCGTGCGCGTGCGTGCGTGTGCGCGTGCGTGCGTGCGTGTGCGCGTGCGTGCGTTCGTGCGTGCGTGCGTGCGAGCGTGCGTGTGTGCGCGCGCGCGCGCGCGCGCGTGTGTGTGTGTGTGTGTGTGTGTGTGTGTGTGTGTGTGTGTGTGTTCTGCTCTCGGTCAATCCTCCTGGCGTTTCGAACGCGCTTTCACCAGTGCTGGCACGCCGCCTTCTGAGCTTCCTCACTCAATCCTTCGCTCCACGCCCTTTGGGATGCTGAGCCCCTGCCGCCCGTGGGCTCCATCTTTTGCGCTTCCTCTGCTCCTGTGGGTTCTCGTTCACTCTGTTTTCCGCTCTGTGCCGTGCATACGCCGCCGCTCAAAGTCTATCAGGCCTGCATCGCCGCGGCCTGGTTTGGAACAAGTGTGTGTGTGTGTGCTTGTGTACATGCATTATGCCTGTTCTTCCTGAGTGTCTTGACCTTGCCGTGGAGCTGCAAGATCGGTCGTGTCGACAGCCGCTTGTGGAAGGCCTCGCCTTCTGGCTCCGCGCGGCCCTCGCCGACTGGGGACGTAGCCGAGTCGGAGGCAGGCGCGCTCATCAGGGCTGGGGGAAGAGCAGGCAGTTCGCGAACGGGGCGGCGCCCTGGCGGCAGCTGGGCGGAGTGGACGCCCTCGCCTTGCGGCGCAGACGCACTTCCGAGACTTGTGGGTGTCACGGCTGGCGGTGGCCTGGCCAGGCGACGCGA